TTCAAAACAACAGGGATTAGAGTTTTCTTTTTGATAAAGGAAACTCTTAAGAAGAGGAATCCAAGTTATCCACAGTTCTACCACCCAGAATATCCCTATTAAAAAATTTACAAATAAATAAAATAAGATTTGCTTTTATTTATTATTTTTGGCTGTGTTCGGTCTTCATTGTTGTGCACGGGCTTTCTCTACTTGCGGCGAGCAGGAGCTACTCTTCGTTGCGGTGCGCGGGCTTCTCATTGCGGGGCTTCTCTTGTTGCGGAGCACGGACTCTAGTTGCGCGGGCTTCAGTAGTTGTGGCTCGGGGGCTCAGTAGTTGTGGCTCGTGGACCCTAGAGCGCAGGCTCAGTAGTTGTGGCGCCCGGGCTTAGTTGCTCCGCGGCATGTGGGATCTTCCCGGACCAGGGCTCGAAACCGTGCCCCTGCATTGGCAGGCAGATTCTTAACCACTGAGCCACCAGGGAAGCCCTGATTTGCTTTTGGACACACAGAGAGCTGTCTGGATGGATTACTGTGGCTCTGTCTGGAGCCATGGCCCTGGGGGATAACCTCTCAAAATTCCCCAAGTCTTACTGTGGAGAAAGAGATAATTCTAAAACATAGGAAAAGCTTTTGTGAGATAGTTGGGAAACCACCCTTGCTCGGGCTGGTGCTGTCTTGCAGGTCGCTGTTACCCTCTGGTGGTGACAGAGCAGACTTGCAAGCAAAGTTTAAACTTTTCAAGCCTGGGACAGAGCGAGGCAATCCCCACCCCTGATGTCTGCCAGGGCCTTTGGGGTAAATGGACATCCACATGCCATGTCTACACATATGTAAAAGTGATAAATCAAGATAGCAAATTATTAAAAAAGGTTTCTATCATCCCACCTCGAAAAAGATACTTTCGTAATAAGCCGGGGGCCCATCTTCAAGTTAAAATTCCCAGACCCCTGGGAATCCCATATGAAACCCGGAGGACTGGAGACAGTGGGTGTCAGGCGTGGCTCACTCTTCCCAGCCCCGCTCTGTTGCACATCTCCAGGAAACGCACCATCGCACCATGACACCCCAGCCTCCTGGCCAAGCACCATCCCCATCCCTGCTCTGCAAAGAGCCCCTCCTTCCCACGCACTCGCTGTGCGTCCACGGAACCAACAGCACTGACCCCATCAGGACCAAACCCAGGAGAGGACTATGCAGGTTTCAGAGGCAGTCTTGGGACCCCTTGTGCAAGGATTCTGTGTTTCTCGTACCCAGAGCATGATCTAGAAGGTGGCAGTGGTGGAAGTGGTGTGGACTCTTGGGGGCAATTAGGGTGACCTGGCTGGGTTGCCTGCATCTGTCCTGCTCTCAACACTGAAGTTCCACGTCCTGGGAAACCCTTCATCGGGATGTGAAAAGTCCCACTTTTCAATCTTGTGTCCAAAGATTAAAGGAGAAGGGCAAAATGCACATGACAGTCGCCTAAAGAGGAGCTGAAAGTAACACTGTTTTCAACGTCAAACCGATGTGTTGTAGATTATCCCTCTTCTACAGTCGTGGTCACTGATGTTGGCAACTGTGGTCTGTGGTTCACAGCCATAGGTCCGCCACAGATGCTCACTCCGAGGGATGTGCCTTATAATTCCAAGTGTTCACAATCTGTCCAACTTTGCCTGTGGACTGACTATGGTGTCTTCTTTGTATTGAGACAGTAAGAGAGTTTGATTCTTCACAGTGTTTGCAGTCATGTTTACTGAACCCTATTGAAAAGTTTAGATAATTAAAGTGAGAATAATTACATATTATCGGTTTAATCAGCCCTACTCTTAACCACTACTATTGCCACAGTTAAGTATATTTTTGACGATGCTTATGTTCAAGAACTCGGTTTTTTACTGTTGCAGGCAAGCAGACGCTAAGCTGCAAAAATTAGAGATGGCATTTCAGAAAGCGATGATATCCGACTTCTTTATTAAGTTTACTGTTAAGCGAACAAAGAGAAAAACATTTCTTCCATTAACAAAGCAAATAGGACATCTGTGCACAAGGAAATGCAACACACAATTTGGTGGGTGAAATTCATTGTCGTGGAAGGAATAATTGGCTTGTGGGTACAGAGAGTTTTCTATCCCAGATCTTAAATTGGATAAGATCTCACAGGCTTTAAACATTTCTTTGTTGTCATAGTTTAGTTTCATTTTGATTTTAACCCTGGTTCGGAAACAACGGAGAGCAAATTACAGATTAACAGTGAGGAAAGGGAAACTCAGTCTGTGAACCTCTCTGTCTTGATATGCTATAAGTTGAGAGACCTTTGCAGATCTTTGCATCCAAGATTGACCCAAAGGCAGGCCGGGGATCAGGCTGGCGTGGGGCTTGTGAGCCCACAGAGAGAGCATGACATGTTAGCTGTGTTTGTTTTCTTGTAAAATCATTCCGGAGTCTTCAAGTCCTCCCTTTCTTTCAGGCATTGTTATCGCTCTTTCTTCCGAAAAAGACAAATAAAATTAAGTCTTGCCCCGAATAAACGCATCATTTTGAATGAAACAGTGGCTAATCCCTCATGTCCCTGAGGCCCCGTCTAAATAAAGACACTCATTTTTCAAAAATAAAAATAAAATTGTCCTGACAAAAATAAATAAATAACCAACTTTTGGGGGGGGTTACAAAACTTCCTGTAGTCTGAAAGCCTGAATCTTTAAAGTCTCTTAAAAAATGACCACACCCATCCTAGCCAGACAAGGGCACAGGATGGAAAGGACTCAGTGCTTCCTTGTCACCAGCAGTGGTGGGTGGTGGCAGCTGCCAAGGGGAAGTTGAGTCTCGTGTACAAGGCTTAGCACTTGAAGGCCTCGTTCCTCCTCAAGTGAAGATTTGTCCTACATTCTATTGTTATTAAGAGAAGCAATGGTGACTTCCCTGGTGGTCCAATGGCTAAGACACTGGGCTCCCAAGGCAGGGGGCCCCGGGTTCGATCCCTGGTCAGGGAACGAGATCCCACATGCTGCAACTAAGACCTGGTGCTGCCAAATAAACAAACAAACTAACAAATAAATAAATAAGTGAGGCAATGGTTCCATTCCACGCAGATCGCCCAGCGTGGTGGAGCCTTTAGTTGTGACCTAAGTCAGCTTCTTCTAGGTGGTGTTCCTTGCTTCTCCCTAGTGGCTTCTACCCAGTCCCCTGCTGCATCCCTCCCTGGCATGTCTTAGAGAATAGCTCTACTTGGTACCATTTTTTACCTCCTTGCCATCGTTACAAAGGAAGATTCTTCTGCTAATACAGAGTGTGGGGAGAGTGTGGCGTTAGACACCATAACTTCTCAAGGAAGCTGGAGATGGCTAAGTTTATACAACCGCTTGGCTGGGCCATGATGCCCAGATATTTGGTCAAACACTATTCTGGATGTTTCGGAGGGGGTTTGGGGATGAAATTAACATTTAATTCTGCGGACTTTGAGTAAAGCAGATTGCCCTAACCCTAGGAGGGTAGGTCTCACCCAATCAGACGAAGGCCTGAATAGAACAAAAAGGCTGCTCTTCCCCATGAGAGAGAAGAAATTCTCCAACAGTGACCTTCAGACTTGAACCACAGCATTGGCTCTTCCCTGGGTCTTCAGCCTGGGATAGATATAGATGTGGATATAGGTACAGATACAGATATATATGTAGATGTAGGTATAGGTATAGATACAGATACAGATGTAGAAAGAGTTTCTAAGCCTACACTTTTGCCTTTTCTTCGAGCTTGCGTTAACATCCTCACCTCATCATGGTCATGATCAAATCATTTCTACCGTTAGTTATTTTTCCCACTGATACGGATTCCCTTTATCCCTAGAAATCTTGAGTAAAGCTGCACATGGAACTCACTGGCCCTAGAAATCAAAGCTTGAACGTGAATTAGGAGTTGGTTCTTTGGCAAAGGAGCTCTTTGGTTTGCATTGATTTCATTCTTGCGTAAAGACAACAAACAAACAAACAAACAAAACATTCTGAAAGCTTTGAAAGACTACACTTTGTTCACTCCCGTTTCAGCCCCCTTTAATCTATCTGGTTTTCTAATTATTCAACATTTACTGAAAACCTGCTCAGAGCCAGGCCCTGTGGTCTCTTTGTGTGGACTTGGATCTGTTGAAAGGATACCAGGGAAGAGGAATCTCTGTTAATCCTGTCACTCTCAGGGAAATTTTTTTTTTTTTATTCATACAAACCTAGATTTAAAACCTAGACTGAACTGGCATGCTTTTTTTTTTTTTTTTTTTTTTTTGCGGTACGCGGGCCTCT